GGCGTTACTGCCAAAGCCTCAGCGCCGCGCGACCCCCCGGGAGCCGAGCGCATCCCGGTGGAAACGATTGCATCAAGTCTTTCTCTCGCTCCCGTTCGTCTGTCCTTTTTCTCCCGCCTTCCCTCCCCTCGCCTCCCCTCGCGTACCGAAACGAAAGCGGTTTGTGCTGACAAGGTGGGGAGGAGGGGGGGTGGGGGGGCGTTTACGAGCTTACAGGCAGAGTGACCCGAACATCCCGGAGCAGCTCGTTGGAAAGAAAAAAGACCCGAGGCCTGTTTGTGTTGTTTGTGTAAGACCAGCGAAGGCGATTTGGAACAAACAGTGTGACCCGCACAGCTGGCCTTACCTCTGGATTAGCCCCCCCCCCTGATCCCTCGCCAACGCGCGGGCCGACTTTTTCAAGACCTCTCCGGTAATGCCCGGGCCGAGTCACGTGGCGACCAGTAATCTTTGGTCCTCTTCCCTCCAAAAGGTTGAGAAGGTGCAAGGTTCCGCCGCCTCCCGCCGCGTTTATCCACACTGTCTCGTTTAACTGCCCCCCCCTCTCTCCTCCTCTCCTTTTTCCAAAAGGGGCTCGGCGGAGCTCAGAGGCCTTCCTGCCGGCTTCGTTACCGAGCCGCGCTCTGGATCTCGGTCTCTCCGGCGAGGAGGCGAGGACGCCGCTGATGTTTAATACATGGACCACTCTGTTGTCTTTCACGCCAGATAAATTCATCATCAAAAACCGAGCGCAGAACAGCAGCAGAGCATGTAAACCTGCTCCCGCCATCTAGACTCCCAATCGTCCTCCCCCCCCCACCTGCATCCCCACTCTCCATTTAACTTATTGCCTCTCGCTCGGGCTCTCTCTCTTCCTCCCGTTGTTCCGTCACATCTCAGTGAACCGGAGCAAACCTTTTCATTGTCCTTCAGTCGAGGTAAACACACAAACACACAAGCGCGGCTCACAAAGGGGAAAAAATGGACCCGTTCCACTTGGCGTAACTCGTTGTACGGCGTACGTGTTTGCACATGTGCAACATGCACCGGATGCACACGTGTGTGTGTGTGTGTGTGTGGGCACATGCTCCCGTCATCGTCACGTGCCTCTAACTCCCCACTGCGTGCATGCATGTTGCTGCATGAGAGAGAGAGAGAGACGTATGGGGCACGGACGCGCTCGCCCGTCTCCTCGCTGCGTGACTGTGGGTGTGCGCGTGGGCGGCAAAGCCCCGCCTTGATAATGCCAGAGCCCGTTTCTAATCCAGGCCTCCTCAGTGGGCTGGAGATGTGGCTGTGCCAAGCAGCCACCCCCCCCCCACCCCCCTCACCGCCCTCACCCCCTCTCCCCCCTCCCTCCGGCTGACAGCCTCCTCTCTCTGCCTCTCTGAACTCTTTCTGAGCTCAAAACTTTAACAATGGCCGCCAAGCGGACCGAGAAATGCGAGGACCCGTGAAGGAAACAACACATGCAGGAGGAGGTTGAGACTATTTCGCCCCGAGGGCGCGTGGCCAGGTCTTATGGAGATTATCCGAGGAGGAAAAAAAATATATAGTAAAATGACAGCTTGCAAAAAAGGAAAACGAGAACGGGACGGGAAAGACACGGTGGACTGCCAAAGGGCCGCCGTTGGTTAAAGGTTTAGGACGAAATCAAAGTGGTTAAAGCTGATTTATCCCGAGCGAGGGCGCCAAGCCCTCTAAGGAGCCACTCAATGGCCCTTCAAAAGTGAAATATCAGCAGCAGTCAGTGCCAGTCATCAGTGCCACGCGGGATGGAAAATCAATCTATTTCGTATCAGAGACCTGCGAGGAGAGAGAGCGAGCGAGACAGGCCCCTCCTCCTCCTCGCCGCAGGAGGAGGGGGGGGGGGGAGGGGGGCGTAACACCCCAGAATGGTCCGCGTCATCGGTGACGGAGACATTCACGGGTGTGAATCGTGGCCCAATGTGTAACTGCTGCCGTTCTGCTAGATTAGGTGGGTGATTGGCCATTAATATTCATTTCACAGTGTGTCTTTGTTAGGCGGCAGCAGGGGCTGACAGAGCGTTTGGACGGATTTACTCTACCGTACATTTCCCCTTTCATTTCCACGGGCAAGGTGGTTTGATCATGGCGGTGTGAGTGCAGCTCTCAAGGGGCTCGATACGGTTTCACCCTTAACTTAAGTAAGCCTCTCAGTGTTAATAACAAACACGGGGCAGTGGGATCTCGTGCCACTTACTATAAATTGCAGGAGGTTTGAAATTCACAATTCAGTCTCAGTTGCATGAGACTGTATGTTGCTGAGGCGCGTTGCTTCTGGCGACCCGTTTGGCTGCAGTGAGACTTTGCAGTGCGGCGGTAACCCGGCGCTGCCGTCTGGTCTTAATGACAGCGGAGACCTGCTCCTGGAGGAGCGCCGGTCCTGCAGGCATTAAAACCACAGTAACAGGTCTTTCCCTTAAGGGCGGCCGACCCGGCGAGGTGATCCGCAAAGCCCTCCTCGTAATGAGATTAAGGGACTAATTAGTGCGACGGTGGCTGTGCGCGCCGAGGACTGCCCGCCCCCCTGTCGGACCGGCCCGGGCCCGGGTCGGTCCCCGGTGTGTCCGTCCCTTCCGCTGCACGGAGAGGCTAATTAATAGCCTTCTGCATCCGCTCCTCCCCGGAGTTATTGATGCCTGTAAAAGTCGGCCGAGGAGGCGCGTCGGCTAACGGCGGACGGGAGCAGCTAATGGCGGAACCGGATGCGTGAGGAGACCAAAGATTATCTTTACTCAGAGAAGCATCAGAACCCTCTCCTCCGCCCCCGTTCCCCCCCTTCTCTTTTTCGCCTTCACCTCCAACGCGGCGGAGCCCGAGGCCCCCGGTTTGATTGCCCCTGCGGCGCCACTTTGACCTGTTCATTTAAGATGATGTGCAGCTCGCGGTTTCGGCTCCGGCGCTCATTTGTTCCTCTGCGGGATCCCCGCGGCCCGGGCCGGCGATCGGGCCCCCGTCCTGCCCGGGGTGCCCCGGGAGCCTTAAAGCCAGCCACTCACAAGCAAGTAAAGAGACAGCTGAGTGTCATTGTTAATGTGGACACACAGCTCCACAATGGCAAAATCAATGGAGCTATAGGGGACATCAATCTCAACAGCACAAGACCCTTTTTGCTTGTCTCACCGCTCCTCTCTGAATGAATAGTCCAGAGAAGGAGGGAAGATGAGGTTGGGGGGAGAAAGAGACCACGGAGGACCGACAGTGATCTTTAACGGCCTTTCCTCCATCCGTCTCAAGGGGGTTACGCCGTCCTTTGAAGATTGTGCGCATTTGACACGCCGCCAAGTGGCCAGCCGTCCTAATTCACCCCAAAACAAGCAGCGGGTTCTTAGGTAAAGCCTCAGAAGTGCAGCGCGGCAGCTGCATGGCGCTTGGCATCATGCTCGCGTTTTCTCTCCCTGCCTGCCAGTTTTTTTCCCCCACTTTCAAAATCCCCGTCTCTCTCTCTCTCTCTCTCTCTCTCTCTCCCCCCTTTCAAGGAGGACGAGGAGGACCAAGACAAACCAAACAGCTAAAAGGCGTGCTTCTGCGTCTGCGTCGTTTCAATTCATGGTTCTGGCGATTCACCGCCAGAACAACGGGCGGAGTGACGTGTTTTTGTCGAAGGCGACCCAGAGAGTCACGTCCATTTATTTATTTGTTTGTTTATTTATTGTAGACTTTATTGCCACGTGCATCGACACATTTGTCCCGTATTTGTGCGCCTCTCAACCGGCAAACCGGCGTTTGCGGCGACCTCCCTCCGTGAATCCAACCCGCTTCCACAACCCGCCAATGACGGCTTGTGTAAGCGCTCATATTTACGCATTTCCTCCGACAAAAGTTCTTAAATCTGCTCCGTTCTCTCGTAAACGTTCTTCTCGTTTTAATAACGGCGGTGTCGGGCTGTGAGAGCGGAAATGTGAGACTCCGTGAAGGACGTAGTTAGCGGACCAATCGCAGCCTGGTGCGCTGCGGGAGGCCTTTGGCGCAAAGAGGCGTGAAAAGCGACGCGAGGGACACGCAAGGGGGGCTCGCGTCTGCGTCGCTCTGAAAACGCAGAAGCATAAACCAGGCTTTACTCGCCGACACCCCCCCCCAAACAAAGGGTTTATTGTGACACAGACATAAAGGGCCATTAACATATATGCAGATAGGCAGCGAGTAAATGAAAGGTTCCCTAAAAATACGTGAGAGATCAAAGGCGACAGAATGGGGCCCAAGCCATTGAGGACCTTGCCAGGACCCCTGCGAATCTATAGATTGTTTGGCTGCTCCTGCAAACCCCCCCCGCCGCCGCCGCCGCCCCGCGCCGCCCCCCAACCTCAAACAAACCACGCCTGTACCATTGACACTCCGGTGTTTTGCGGGCGCGCTCAGGCCCGAGCCCCGCAGGCCTCCCGGCGTTGGAGGGGGGGGGGGCTTTTTCCCCGTGGCTCCGGGCCCCCTGGCAGTGAAGCCTAATCACGATGTGATTTACAGTGATATAATGCACTTGGCGCGGGGGAGACGGGCGCCCCCCCTCCCCGTCACATGCTTTCAATAACACAGACGCTTAAATCAATTACATCCAGCACAAGGGTAAAGGGTGTGAGATTAATCCATAAGACCCAAGGGATTTAAACCCGGAGACAAAAACAAAAGGGACACAATGCGGCGTGTAAGAAGTGAGATTACATTTCCACTCTAACGCGTTTAGAAGTGACGGGCTGAGAGCAGACACACGCGTCTTGTCGCGTGCTTTGCGCGCATTCGGACCGTTCGCCGTAAGCTACGCGGCGCTTTGATCGCAGTGATTGCAGATTGCGGCTCTTACGTATGCGAGTGCCGCAACGCGAGAATAAAAAAGGAGCTGCAATGAGATTTTTTGGGGGGTTTTTTCCGCCGAAAGAAATATTGCGTCGAGCGCAGCGGAACAGATGAGATCAGTGGGAAGGGAACGAAAAAGAATTAGCCCCGATGAGGAGGATGAAAAAGGGGATGACGTGAATAAATGATGGAGAAAAGAAGACAACTACCTCCGCGGCTCTCGCTGTCAGCCGGTTTCACCTGGATGGGCCGAGTCATCTGGACGGGAGAGAGAGAAGAGCAACAGAGAAGGTTAGCGCCGGCGACTCGGTGGGCTGTCGTCGCCACAAGGGGCCACAAAGCAGAGGTGTCGAGGCCCCCACCAACCCACCCCCCGTTCAACCATACTAATGGCTGCGCTGCCTCGAACCGGAGCGCCGCCGCGCGGCTAACGCGACCCGACACCCGAGTGTTCCTGCTGTCCTGTTACTCGCTGTACAACAAAACAACAAGCGGGAAATGTGTCTATTTGTACTTCTGCACGTGTTCGTGGTGCGCGGAGAAGCTGCGGGGCGGGTGTGTGTGTGTCTATGTGTGTGTCTGTGTATGTGTGTGTGCGTAAGGGATAGAGGCCGAGGCGGTCCCAGTTAAAGTGGACCCGGCCAGAGAAGGAGGGAGATCAATGCGGGCCTATTGATCCGGGCCCTTGGGCTGCGGATTCTCCGGTTAGGAGGCTCACTCTAATCCACTGGACCCTGATAAGAATGGCATTGCCTGGATTAGAAGCCTCTGTCATCACAGCCTTTGTGTCACGCTCTCCTCCTTCCCCAATTTTACTTCCCTCCTTTTTCATTATTGTTGTTCGAGCTGAGCAATTTCCCCCGACGGTAAAAGTTTGAAAGATCTGTCCGTGATTTACAATATGTTACGGTTCTTTCTTTTTTCCTTTTAAAGTCTAGCACATATTTGTATGCATTCTGTTTATACACCCAACCCACACATGCATTTGCGTTTGTGTATATGCGCCGTGGCAGCGCGTAATGCTCGCAATATAACTTCTGTGCATTGATCTGCAGCCAGTGCCCCTCGTTTCATGATCCAGTCCGAAACAAATGGATTGAACAATAAAAGCGCACACATTTGAATGAAATCGGGGGGCCAAAAGTGGCACGAATTTCTAACAAGATTACTGGAACATGAAAGCAACCTCTCACCACACAGGCCCATTTACAGGAAACCATTTGTAGCCGCTATTTAAGCATCTTTTTACTGCTGGAAACTATTCCCCATTACCGGGCATCCCGGTCATATCGGCGAAAAAAAAACCATCCACTGCAGGTATTTTTACACCCACGTGTGTACACATTTGGTTCCATCGGCACGTTATGAATCTGCTTTTCTGTTCGATACTGGAGCCAGGCTGAAAAGGTCAGATTTAAAGACAGGGCAGTCCAATAAAAGCATGACATGTTCAAGGAGAAACACCATAATGGGATTTTAAAATGTCTTAATAACATGCTGATATACGGGGGAGGGGGGGGCCCGGGCCTGATTCATTAAGTGCTAAACGTATCCATTCTCACCTTGAGCAACCGGGTAACCTTGCTGAAATGATTCCATAAATTCACCCATCTTAAACGATATCTAGCGGCGGCTAAGTCTTTGAGGGAACAACAGGGAGGATGCTCCGCGCTCGCCAAGGTTGAGATTTTTTAGCTCCTTGATTCTTGGCTCGCTCACCGGTCCCCCCCCCCCCCCCAAACAAAGGGGTACCCATTTGGGTGCGGAAGGAGGTTTTTCCCCTCAACACCACCAGCAAAGTAACCCGACGGTATGCTAATGGCGAGCCACAGGGCGCGCTGCTCCACAGCATGCGCGGATAGATCAACCGCACACGTGTTCAAAGCAACCGCCTCAGAATGAAAGAGGGGGAGGGGGAGGGAGGAGGGGGGGGGGGGTCCTCGAGACAAATGTTGAATCTTTGAAATTTGCCTCCGACGCGTCAAACGGGTCTCCAGGATTTCCATCCTGCCAGTTGACGGCGGTTCGGATGCTCGATGGAGGAGGCCGAATCGGCTCCTCGTCGGCGTGCGCTGATCTCAGCCGTCTCCACGGGGCGCCCCCCCCCCCCTCCACCCCATCACATCCCCCCCACCCTCTCCCCTCTCTGAAAGCTAGCTACTGTCGGGCCCCCGACGCGCCAGCTTAATGGTCGATTCATTTGCCCGAGAGCAGCGCATCGTGGTCCCGAACAGTCACTGCCGATGCCGCTCAGTGGGCTTCATTCCTCTTGAACACGCGCAGCAGAAATGAGGTGCACGTTTGCCAACGCTTGTGCTGCGTGCGCAGGCCGGGTGGCTTTAAATAAAAGCGGCAGATGCACCGCTTTCGCCGATGACAACGCGCTGTAGTTGTCGATCCTCGGCCTCCGTTCGTTGGGGTGAGGGAGTGGCTAGGAGAGGGAAGGGGAGGGAGGGAGAGAGAGAGAGAGAGAGGGAAGGAAAGGAGGCAGCGTGCAGGACTTAGATAAGATCGCTTCGCTGTTGAGTGGCGTTTTCACTTCTGACGGCAGCCGCCTGCCTTTCACTTACACAATAACACACACAGAAACGGAGCAGCTCGCCTGGACTGCACACCCACCCACCCAGCTAGAGATGCACCTTTTCAATATTTCTACAATTTAAATGTGATATTAAGGGAACTTTAAACTCGAATTGACCTGGTAGTCTGTTTCTTTGGCACGTTTATGTTATAGCTGACGTAGCTGATTGAAGCAGCTTCATGTGTTCAGAAAACCAGGTTTTCCTTTGGTCAATATAATGCTAAATGCATGAAGACAGTATAATTATTGCCCTCAATCCAGATGTGGAATTCTGCAGACAAACAATTCTGGGTGTCCTGACGTTTTGCGTTATTGCGTCCTGTATAATTTATTTGTTTGATTTTTCTTTTGTATATAAATGTCATTAGAGAGAACAATGATGTTTTAAAAAGGGCACTTCATATTAAATAGGATGCCAACTCTCGCTGTAGTCGGCAACCTTTTATTTTATCTTAGTTATTTCCAGGCGTTAGCCATATTGTAAATAACAGTTAAGAAAACCAATTCACACGCTAATATCTTCTTGAATTGGTTCTTTCTGTCTTCCGTCAGCGGTGAAAAATAATTGGGCGAAAATGAGATCAGAAGGAAAACAAAGATAAAAAGACTCATTTGACAAGTCCTTGCTGACTTGTGTTGCAAATGATGTTTATAAGGGAGGATTTAAAATAATGTATTCATGCAGAGGAAACAACAAACTTGGATGTTTGGGACAGCTTATCTCTGAGGACATCTGGGACATTTCTACGAACACGGCGCTGCGCATTGCTTCTTTTGTGTCTCAAAGGCCGCGTTAAAGTGAAGGCGAGCGCAAAACGAGCTCCCGCGATGACTCACAACAACTCGCCGGCTTCGCAACCTTCAAACGAGCTACTACTCTTTATCTTTCTCCTCCGGCGGAAACCGTGTTTTTTTTTTTTTTTTTCGGTGTTTTCGCCGTTCGAACTGCCAGGCGTCTCTCTCCTCGTACGGCGCGCGCTCCGAGGGCTTCGACGAATCTATACTTCCATATGATTTTATTAAGCCGTCTCATTTGCCCAAGTTAAGCCTCCAGTCAGTGGAATTAAAGCTCTTAGCACTGGTACGCTGTTTTGTATGGAGGGCGAGATAGCAGCCCCCCCCACCCCCGGGGGCCTGAAGCGCACACTGTGGTGTGCGATGGGCCCGCTGGAAGCACACGATGCCCGTTTGGTTAAACATTTTGCGTTCTTTGACTGAGACGAGCTGCAGATGAACGTGGAGCCGGTCTTGGATGATCCGTGCGGAGATCTCTCCGTCATTAAACCGGTGACGCTCGGCCCGGCCGGCCCTTTGGTCTCCGGGCCACAAAAGAAAAAGATCCGCTGTCTGATTTCGAATTACACGGAGCGGGCGCAGGAAGCGCGGCCGGGGCTCGGCCTGTTAGCGATGTGGAGGATTTACAGTGCACCGGTTGGCACCGCCCGCGACAGTAATGACCTCGTGACTGGTCGAGGTCCGGCCGATGCAACTTGCAGACTCCAGAAAGAAAAACGTTCTCACAGCGTTGAAAGAAGACGGGAGAGAATACAGCACAGCAACAAAATTGCACTGAAACTCTTTTTCTCTACAGCAGTTACGCAACGGCACTCACTTACAGCGCCTGCAATAAAATAACTCTAATTGCCGCACAATATGTGTGATGTCTTCTGGCTCTCACTCAGGTTTAATATGGAGTAATGTTTGTCCTGGGATCATTTATACGTATTAGTGGGCCATCAGAGCTCGAGTTGCTGCACTGCTCAGTAACAGGAGCATAAACAGCCCCTTTCTGACTGGCCCGTTTCTGCTGATATAATTAATATTTCCAATTATTGATCTGAGGGAGTGCTGAGTGGTGGCTGTCCGGGGGCCCCTGGCTTCAACTAATAAATCTGTAGTGTTTACAGTGCAGGAGAGAGCAGTTGGGGGGGGGGGGGCGGGGGGAGGGAAAGCCGTGGTGTAATGATTTATAGTTATGAAGTGCTTCATTGCTATCGCAATAATTGTTCATTAACAATAAAAAATGTTGAAAAAAAAAAAAATTACAGATGAAGATCAAATTCAAACGACCGAATCAAGCTGGGTGAGGAACTTTTTCACGAGATTGTGAAGCTGGAAATGAAAACACATGTGTTGGCGTTATAGCATAGATTTGTAGGCAATGATGTCATTTGCTTTAAACGTGCCACTAAAGCCCTGGGACGAGGGTCTCTGTGTCCTCTGGGTTTGGGTCGGTGGTCCGATTAGTTATCCGATCAAAGCAGATTTGAGTCATCGGATCTGCGCTCTCCTGGAGCTGCTCCCAACATCAACATCTACAGCATTTATGTCATTCTTACGATACATAACGTGAAGGAAACAGCTACTAAAAAAATCACAAATATTTGCTAAAGAGTTTTCTTACGCGTTCAGCAAACTTTACATGCTAAAATGAAGACACGTATGCGTGCGGGCCCTCGATGCACTCGTGCTGTGGCCGCCCTGCCGTGTGCGGACGAATCGATGTGAGCGTGTGCACCCGAAAAAAAACGCTGGCGGGAAAACGTCTGCGCCAGCGAGTTATAATTTACCCACGTGTGAAAATGTGCTGGCGGCAGCGGCGTGTTGGTCCAGATAAGAGGCATCAGTCAGTGCCGAGGAGATGGCAGCTACTATAAGCTCCGGGATTCCTATCAGA